ATTGCACTACAGTTTTGTCCTTGACTAAAATAATGCTAAAAATATACAGTTGACTGGATGGAGATTGCAATATTGAAAGTACTCTTTGAGCCCCAACCTATGCATGTTTACTTGGAAATATTTGAAAATCCACTTTAAACATGACTTTATTGGAAGACTCTGCTATAAAACCCATTTTGAGGCACAAACCACCATAAGAGCTTCCAGGTCTATCAGATTTTGGAATCCTCTTTTTTTCCTCAACAGAGGGAGAAAGGAGGCAACATGCCTAAAATATTTGTAGGGAAAGCAGTTGTACACATGTGCTATGGGCTTTCAAACTACACTAGTAGCCCTGCTGAGAGCAGAAATGCCTTCACTACATCAAAGCTGTATTATGACCCCAAAGTTACGATATGGGTATGATTTGATACTGATGCCAACTAAATGATTTGGCTATAAGCAATAAATATTCAGTGTCTCATAAAACAGAATAAATCTTTTTGAATTCAACAGGCTTACTTCCAAACAGCATGAATTTGACAGGCAATCTGTACCTCTGTCACATGTAAATTATGATCAATCAAAATAAAAACATACCATATTTTTTCCCTTTGGAAATTTTTCTGCCTTCATTTTCATTGAACTGCCTTTTATGTAGTTTATTTAGATAAGACATAAGAAAATATACCAAGCCCTAGTAAAATTGCCAGTACTACTGTACTTAACCCAGTTTTTAAACAGGAAATATATATACAGTATATATATATTCGATACTTAGCACATATCTTCTACTGCTCTGCCCAAGCAATGACAAACAGGTAAGGAAACTGAATAGTAAATGTGTCATCAAAAGATTAAGTGAGGTTATTATGAAAAATGGATGTGTTAGCACTGCGATGTATGTTATCAACACTGGAAACTTGCGACCAAAAATCAGATCTGTGATTGCACCATTGATTTTCTTACAGGATACAATCAAAGCCTACTGTGCTTAGATTCCTAATCTAAGCTTATCCGTTGATGACATTTTCATCTTTACAGGCATCTGAACAGAAATAGCTTTGGCTTACTGTGGTCAGAACAATTTCTGGGCAAATAAAGCCATTTAGCAATTTAAACTATCAGAAAAATAGAAGATAGGGTCAAATAACTACAAATCTCTTGATGTGATCTAAAGATAAGAATGTGATGGTTTAGAAAGAGGGTCCCCTTAAATTTCTACCCATGGTTGTCTCTCTATGTCAGCAGCTGTACAGTGAATGCCTGGCCTGAATTATTGATGTAGTGGAGGTCTCCTGTGGAAGCAGACGTTTTCTATTTTTTTCTATTATTTTTCCTGTTTTTCTAATGTTACTGAAAGCAAAGCAAAATTAAGAGTCCTGAGGTCCAATCAGTCTTTTCAAAGGTATTTGAAATGCCATGTTTAAAAATAAATGTTATACAACAACAGAATATGTTGATGTGTGAGACCTACTTCATGCATGCTGTAAAGAATAGTTTGCATTTTAATCAACGTGATTAAACCAGTTGCAATACACCAAGCAAGACATGATGACCATAAATTTGCACACCAAATGTGAACGATTTATATATTAAAAATGCTAAAATCAGCATTTTCTAAAGCTAGTCAGAAGTGAAGTTAAAATTGCGTATACCTGGACACGTTTAATATATACAAGTGTTATACAGTCATACCACCTGCTTCCAAATTCATTCAAAATTGTTTGTCTTATGCATAGCAATGATGTCATTTTGAGTTGATTTTTAGCCTATCCAATTTGGCTTGTACCTGAATATTTTGAAGGATTTGTACATATTTGTATGGGTCCAAATATTTAAAAAAACATGAAAATTGGGTGAATAAAGATTAATAACCTGGGATGCAGGGGCGAACTTGATGCTGTCAACTACTGTTTAATCTCTAGTATGCAGGCAAAATTTCTACAAATTTCCTTTCTCCCTCCCAGCCTCCCTGTCTGCCTTATGTCAGGAGCCATGCTATTCAGTTTATTTCTTCAGATCAGACTCAGAATTCCCTAGGCACAAGGCCAACGGACACAACTGGGAAACAGGATGTTTGCTTGTTTGTGTAGTCCCTTGGTGGGAAAGACTGTCCTGTAAAATAACAAAGACTGTCCTGTAAAATTGCTAGGGAAGCAATTGGAATGAATAATGATCTTTTCCAGTTTGTGGGGCATTGTTTTGTTTTACATATCGGAAACAGGATGTTTGCTTGTTTGTGTAGTCCCTTGGTGGGAAAGACTGTCCTGTAAAATAACAAAAACTGTCCTGTAAAATTGCTAGGGAAGCAATTGGAATGAATAATGAACTTTTCCAGTTTGTGGGCCATTGTTTTGTTTTCCATATCCGTTTAAAGTATGTTTTGTAAACGCCGGCAGTGTAACTTGAAATTTTGGAATTTCTTTAAAAATAAAAAATTACACTGGGCCGCATTATGAACCTACCTGGGCCACATGCGGCCCTCGGGCCGCAGGTTGGACAAGCCTGGTTTAAAGTATGTTTTGTAAAAGTTTTTCCATCCTGCTACAAAATAAATTGGACATAACACAGCATAAATAATGCCATTCTCATGGAAGCATACCTTTATTTCCATAATTCCAATGATAATAACTAGTGTTAAGCATCTCTACTGATCAATTAATTAATTAAACCCAGCAAGCAAAGTGCTTTCTGGCAATTATTAGTATAACACAGGGCAATCCATTGCAAGTTGGGAAGAGTTCATGGGAGCAGGACAGGAAGCAGATTTCTCCTTCTATAACATTTCCCTGCCGTAGCGGTAACATCCCTTTGATTTCTGAGCTTGAATTTTGCTTGGATGTATTGCAGTGTGTTTATTCAACATGTACATATTCTGAATCAATAGGCATTATGCAGAACAGTTGCCTCAATGCCACCCATTCTCCTACTTCTTTTTTTATGGCTTCCCAAGTAGCATCTTAACTGCAACTGCAGAACTGCCAGAAGTATGTTCAGATGCCCTCCTTTACACGCAGTCTGCCTGTGTGCCATCTATTAAGAGTGCACCTTCAACACTGCAGTTAGCTTCTGCTTTCTGCATCCTCTCAGTAGCTGCTATTCTCAGAAGTTGATCCCTTGCCTTTTCATAAATTTATTCTGTATTTTTTTAAAATTAAAAAAAAACCATCATTGCTGCTGTTAGCATTTAATCAGCCTCTCTTCTTCATGAAAAATAATACTGCTGCACACTTTCTCTCTGCTTCGCATCCAGCAGATAAGAGCAAAGCCAGTCTCTCTCTTTCTTTGACATTCTCTCTGGCAGGTGCAGCCCCTAAATCTGTTCACTTCCTCCTCTCTGCGATTTGTTCTCCTGCGATAATGACTACTTACTGCCCAAGGAACTGAGTGTGCTCTTTGGAAAGCACAGCAAGCTGATGGCAGGACCACTTTTGCATCAGGTTCCTGCGCACTTCCCCATAAACTGGTCATAATATCCTGCTCATTAAAACTAAATGGGATCAAATCAGACTGGATCTGTTTCACCCAGCCTGAAGGAGATCATTTGTGTTTCTGATGGAGGGAGAACCGTTCCCTCAGCCAGAGAAGCTCAAAAATGAGGGGAGAGCAGAGCAAGGTATGTGAAGACAAAAACTTTGAAAACAGGAATTCATTTTTAAAATAAGCCCTAAGAAAAGCCTGATTGTAAATTAGATTTCCTCGAGTGTTCAACCAAACCCTCATGATAGCTGCTGGAGGGGGAGGGCTATAACACTATAAGAATCAATTTCTGGTTTATTTTTTGAAATGTATAGTGAGACACAAGCCACAAAAATAAAATTGATATTTGTCTGAATATAAATACACTGTTTTGCCTCAAGCTTACTCCCCCTACTGCAACATAAGTTCAAAGAGGAAAAGCCATGACAGTTTGTTGCACCAAATAGATTCTGGCATCTTTGGGCCTAAGACAAATTCCTTAGGGCAAAAGGTTTGGGGAGCTGATCATGGATGGCTCATGCATCTGTTGAAGAGAATTCCAGTCAATGAATGGTTAAACCATAATAAAGAAGCCTATCTTTAAGGTTCAACTTTGGTTCATTTTCCAATCTTGATTTTCGTTGTGCCATGCCATCAAGTCAATTCCCACTTTATTTGACCCTGTGAAGGAGTGACACCCCCCCCACACACACGCCTCAAATGTCCTATCATTAACAGCCCTTCTTAGTTCTTGCAAGCTCAAGGCCCTGGCATCCCATCTCATAATCTCAATTAGATGGAACAACCTGGAGTGTGTGGGGAGGGGAAGGGGGGAATTATATGTCCTTGATAGCAAGTGTTAGAAGCTTTATTTGGTGAGCTGCAGCCACAACACATTTTATAAAATAGTTATGCATGGCAACATGCATATCTGGTTTATTTTTTGAACTAAGAGTACCACTATTCATTTCAAAAAAATGTATAGTGGTACTTTATACATTATATATATGGTATAGTGAAATGTGTTGCGGTACTTTAGTACTCTTCGTACTAAAAACGAATGGATATCCTTTATTTCGGTTATTTATAGGCTGTCCTGTGACAAAAGTTCTCAAGACGTCTTAACATAATAAAACGATACAAATTAACTTCTGAAGTTCTTTTACAAAATACTGTAAAACCACACATTAAAAAAGAGAGAGAGAGAACAGGATCAGTACAGCGATGCAATGTAATATCTTGCATCAAAAGGTGCCCCCAAGGTCCGGGGGTGGGGTGGGGATGGGTGGGTAGGAAGAGATGAAGCCGACCTCACAGA